AAAAAATAAAAAATAAACACATCATGGTAAAATTAATACCTTCTCAGCTTCGCATCGAAGCTAAAAAAACTCAAATTTACTAAGAAAATGTCTATGTGTATTTGTTTCCATGGTAATTTTAACTTTGAATTATCAAAAATACTTTACTATTATAACAACTATTAACATCAACAATTAGCCAGTATTAATTACTTAAAAGTTATTTATATTTTTTAGCAGAAACAGCATGTATATAATTAGTGTTATTCAACGTTTACCGATCTATGTATTTCATTATCGATGTTGTTTACAGAGTTATAAAATAAAAACGATAAACGAATTACATTTTTAGCTTTCTTTCTTACTATGTATGGTAAAAAAAATTCTATACACTAAATATACAGATTCTCTGTACAAAAATTATATAAAAAATAAAGAATAACTATTTATCAGCTTTAGAATAAAAGACATAAATATAATTAATTATAAATCAATTTCACTATTTTGTTTTTTAAAATTAGAAAAATTAAAAACAATTATAATATTGAATATTCACTAACCTGTACTCTTTAAAAGGGTCAGTCTAGCATAATGGGTAGAAACGTATGTTTCAGCGCACAGGATTCTGAGTTTAATCCCCAGAATGCCAACAAAATTATTTTTGTGATTTTCTCATTGGTGGTGTTTGATTTTTGTTGCAAACCAAAGATAATACCCATCCCATTCATAATTGGTTTAGCCAAGAACCATCTTTGACTGAACTTGTGAAACAGCGCTTAGTGTTAATGTGAAACAATACATTTTAAATATTATGTCTCAGAAAAAAAATTAATAAAATAAAATTTACAATATTTATTTTTAAAACTGAAGAAAATATTTATAAAAATACAAAATATTAACTATTGAATTTTGTTGAAAATATGTTTTTGATACCACAGAAACGATTCCCAGTAACTCATTTCACTCACAGCCAACTTTTATTACACTAATCTTTCCTAGTATAAGATTTCAAAGATATAAAGGTATTTTTAAATATATTCATTATGCTGAGAGAAAAAATAAAGTAAAATTCATGACAGTATTTTATTTTAAATAAGTAGAAAATAATTTAAAAAAAAACTATTTATTATTGTTGAAAATATATTATTTGAGTATCATCCCAGATTGCAAAAATCAATTTGAATAATATTGTGAATAATAAATAATAAAACAAGTAATAAATGTATCAATAAGGAATAGTTATTATTTTAGTTTTACATTTTATTATCTAGAAACAGTGAAACTTTGATTGTCAGTCAGTCTCTGTATTAAGCACAGCCAATATCATACACAAGATGTTGTGCATGATGAACTAAACTATAATAAATGTCTCCTTTTGTAATTGTTGAGAGTATTTCTAACAAAACAACTATCGATGAAATGTACATCAATTGGATAAAACACAATAGTGATTTATAAATTATACCTTTTGCTTTATTGACATCTTTATCGGTTTCATTTTCTATTTCTCTTTTAAGTACAATAAGAATACTCTAGAAACATTGTTTAATGGCTTCACAGTTTTTAAATCTACAATGTCATCTATTATTACTAATGCGCCCATAGTTTTTGTTTTTATATCCAAGTTTTTATGCAATTCAACTAATTGACAATTCTTTGGGGATGGGGAAAATGAACGTAAATACATTTAATCAAGTTAAAAAAACTTAAGGTTTTTTAAAAAATTTTAATTATTACAAAATAAAATTGTATTATTTTAATAAAACAAACATATTTTATTAATATTGGTTTTTACTTTAAACATTTTGCACCTATCTGCAACCAAAAGATTTATTCTATAAAGCATACCAATTCTTATTCTTGATTGACTCCATTAAATTTCCAGACATGATATTTCCACAGAAATTCCAACCATTATAGGATTGTGAAATTATTTGAGCTTTAGTATTTAATTTGTAAGTTTCAAAATAATATTAAACACTTGTTCTTCTTTATAAAATCTAAAACTAAAGCAAAAATGTAATAGTAATATTAGTGTTTATTAATTATACATTTTTTTATCAATAATGATTTTTGAATTTATTACCTTGCTTCATCACA